GCGCTCCCACAATGCATTGCGGCGTGACGTCAACTCCAAAGCCCTATACTTGGCCTTGGCCACACCCTATCACAGTTCATCCTCTGTCTCAAACAAGCTCTTTAGAGCAGTCTGTAAAATTTCTTAAAGATTTTGATGAAATTAGAAAAGTGGAGGACAAAAGAAGACGTGGCAGGAGCCAGTGGAACCACTCAGCCTCCTAGCAGATACACCTAACGTATAACAATTTTACATCGTCTTATTCTTGAGTTAGTACATTCACAAATGTTGGCGTGCAAGCCTCCTCAGAAATGGTCTCAGTCAAAGGGGTAGCTGTCAAGGAGTCATTCTTAAAGAACATATACAGCAAAATCAGACAAAAGCTGTACTGAAAATCAGTGGCAGCAGGTCTTATGGAGAGATCAGTCCAGATTTTACATATTTGGTTGAAATCATCATTAATATATACAGGGGAAAAATACAACAGTGAATGTCTACAGCCATCTATAGAACATAGTGGAGGCTTCGTCATGTTTTGGAGCTGAATTTCATCCAGGGACGCAGGAGATCTTGTCAAATTGGTGGAATCATGAAAAAGTACCATCAGATTTTGATCCACTGCAAATTAACATCTGAAAAACATCTGACTATCAATAGCTTCATTATCAGCATGACAATGACCACAAACACACTGCCAATCCAGTGAAAGCATGCCTGTATGAACAAACAGACAGTGGCCTCCCAAGAGCACAGACCTTAAAATTACTGAATCAGTGTGGGATCATCTTGTCAGAAAACATGCAAAGAAGAGTTTTGAATGTCCTTCGACAAACCTGGAGAACAATTCCTGAAGACTACTGAAACACATGACAAGCAATCTTCCTAAGAGAGTTCAAGCTGTGCTGAAGAATAAAGGTCTTTATACCAAATTTTGACTTTCAAGCTTCTTCTTTTTGGCTTATATACTGTATTTCCATGTATGATTGAACATGTGTCAATAAAAACTTTTGCAACATACTGTATATGCCCCCCCCCCCTCAAAAAAAAGCAGTAGAGGACCAGCTTAGCTAAACAAGTCTTATCATATCACATGTCTCCTTACTGATAGAGGAATATAACTTCACACACAGGCAAAGTAGGAGTAACATATGAGGAGAAAACAAAAAGAACATGGCATGCAGCTCCTTTCATGTTATTTGCAATGAACAAGAAACAGGGTGTGTATTGATTCCAACAGGTGCATCTTCTTTCTATCCAAGAATTGTGCACGCCGAGTGTCAACTGATACCACTGAAGCAGAAGATGGCTATGTATAGACTGGGTGCACACACGCACATGCGCGTGCACACACACACACGCACACGCGCGTGCACACACACGCACGCACACGCGCGTGCACACACGCACACACACGCACACGCGCGCGCGCACACACACACACACACACACACTGTTAGAAAAGCCTCCAAGTGGCATTCAGGTCCAGAGGGGTGATGAAAGAGTTAGCAGCATAAATGGATAGTCACGCCACTGGGTTTGTCAGAGAGTAATAGCGTGGTTAAAGTCAAAATTTTCATTCCTTCTCTTTAAATGCTTTCAAGTCTAATGCAGAGCAATGGGGTCAAAATGTTTAACACTTACATCTTTAAAGTTTTTCATTTCAAACATAGCTCTAAACAGTGTTGGTCAAGTTACTTGAAAAAATTAATCAGTAACTAATTACTGATTACTTCCCCAAAAAAGTAATCCCATTACTTTACTGATTACTTCTTTTCAAAAGTAATTAATTACTAGTTACTTAGTTATTTTTTAAAAACA